TATGGAGAGGAAACAAAAGGGTACAAACTGTGGGTTAGAGACCAAAATGGCTTTAAGGTCATTATCAGTAGAAATGTCATCTTCAATGAAAATGACATGCCTTGTGTGAAATCAACTAATCTTAAAACTTCAGAACCTGCACTATTGAAAGAAATCATCATGGAAAACAAAACTGATGAATTTGAAAATCTAGATGGTCTAATTGAGGTGGAGACCTCTCAGTCTGAGTAAAACCCTAATCAAAATGAAACTGAAATTGAGGTGGAGTCTTCAAATCCTACACTTGCTGATTATCAGTTAACTAGGGATAGAGAAAGGAGAAATATAAGACCTCCAATCAGATTTAATAATGAAGAATTTGTCACCTTTTTCTCTGGTCTGGACTTATTAAATTCTGAACCTACTTCATTTGATGAAGCAAATAAATGTCCAGATTCTAAGTTCTGGAAAGAGGCCAAATGAACTCTCTCATCAAAAATAAAACTTGGGCTTTGGTTGATAGGCCTAAAAACCAAAAAATAATTGACTGCAACTGGATTTTTAAAATTAAACAAGGGGACTCTAACTCACAAGATAAAAGATACAAGGCCAGATTAGTGGCCAAGGGTTTTACTCAAAAGGAGGGGGTGGATTACAATGAAATCTATTCCCCAGTGGTAAAATATACCTCTATAAGAATAGTGTTGGCACTAATTGCTCATTTTGATTGGGAATTAGATCAACTAGATGTCAAAACAGCATTCCTCAATGGGGATCTTGATGAAACCATATACATGAGTCAACCTCCAAGGGTTGAAATAAAGTCTAAGATCAATAAGGTTTGTTTGTTGAAGAAGTCCCTCTATGGACTAAAACAAGCTCCCAGGCAATGGTATATCAAATTTAACTCCTATGTGTAGACTTTGGGTTTTGTCAAAAGCAATTATGATTCCTGCTTTTTCTATAAAGATTCAGGTGGACCTGAATCCATTTATCTGTTATTATATATTGATGACATGTTGCTTGCTTGCCATTATAGATCTGAAATTAACTTCATTAAATCAAAATTAAAATCTGAATTTGAAATGAAAGACCTAGGACAAGCAAAAAGGATTCTTGGAATGGAAATAGAAAGAGATAGAAATAATTGCATGTTAATATTGAAACAAGGCATATATGTGAAGAAAATGCTTGAAAAGTTTTCAATGTTTGAGTGTAAACATGTAACCTTACCCATTGCTAATCACTTTAAACTGTCAAGTGAAAGTTCACCTAAAACAGATCATGAATTTATAAGAATGGAAAAGATTCCTTATGCAAATGTTGTAGGATCAATAATGTACCTAATGGTCTGTACCAGACCTGACTTATCTCATGGCATTAGTACCTTGAGTAGGTTTATGTCAAATCCAGGTGAAACACACTGGTTATCCATGAAGTGGATGCTAAGAGACTTAAAAAGAAACTCTAATTTAGGTTTAATGTTTAAAAGAAGCAATGAAGGGGTAAAGTTAAAGGGCTACACTGATTCTGATTTTGCTGGTGATTTAGATAAAAGAAGGTCAACATCTTCATATGTTTTCACTTTGTGTGATGGCTGCATTAGTTGGAAATCACAACTGCAAAAATTAGTTGCTCTTTCCTCTACAGAAGCTGAATATATTGCTGCTTGTGATGCAGTAAAAGAAAGTCTTTAGCTTAGGGGTTTGTTAAATGAAATAGGTTTTGAAAATAATATTGTTAGGATTTATACAGACAACCAAAGTGCCATACATTTGAGTAAAAATCCTGTCTACCATGACAGAACTAAACATATAGATATAAAATTTCACTTTGTGAGGAACATGGTAGAAAAAGGTTTGATAAGTCTGGTCAAAATTCCTATAGAATTTAACCCTTCAGATTTTGGAACTTAGGTATTACCTTTGAGTAAATTTCAAAATTGCTTGAAGATTCTGAATATTACTTGAGATTGTAAAAATCAGAACTTCAAAGTGTTTAGCATTGGAAAGATTTAAACTAATGTGTTTATTTTGTTTTTTGCAGGTATTTAGAGCAAATGAGCCAACAGTTGCTATAGCTCTAGATTCACTAGTAGAGACTAAGAAATAGTTCAGTAAGGTGGAGATTGTTATATTAGTTAGGTTGCCTCACCATTTCTTGTTGGCCCAGATTGAGACTTGTGGGCTTGGTCTGTTTAGAATTAAGTTCGGGTTGTAAATCGTGTTTTAAAGAAACACGCCTTTGCCTCTTAAATGGTTGAGGTTCAACTGTACACGTGGCTTCACTTTCACCCTTGGATGGTTGACTGATCAGACACTTACTTGGTTTTGGCCCCGATTCTAGATGATTCGAAGTCTTTTCAACCTTTCGTCTCTATTTCATTTTCTCTGAGTGATAGATTAGGGTTCTTGGGTTACTGTAATCCGATATGTTCTTGGTGATTTCTCAATCTGTAATCTTAGTGATGGTTTTTGATTGTGTTGCATAATCTGTTAGCGATTGAGAGTGAGTTGGATTACAGTTTTGAATAGAGGCGAAAGAATATTGGAAGAAACCTTTGGTCTTTTCGTACATAGTGTACTGTTCTTGGTGGATACTTAGTGGATCTTGAGCTTTATCACCTTTTAGTGATGTTCAACGGGTGATTAGGTTGCAAGATCGAACATCCGGGCCCTTTTAAGGGCGAAACATATCTTCGTGTTCGATTTTTTAATTTTCTGCAAATCTATTTTTTATTGCAAAGCGATCCATTTTTGAGATTTAACGATCCTTCGACTTAACAATCAGGTCTTAATCGTTGTGGCAAGAGCTGTCGTCTCCGGTGGCTTAATTACCTTCGACCGGATATCATACATGAACCTTTTACACCGGAAGAAGACAATATCATATACACTCTCTATGGTGTCTTGGGAAGCAAGAAAGTTCAATGTTAATTATAATTTTTTTTCTTCTTGATTTTTTTATTTATTAACATTTTATTAATGTTTAATTCATAGATGGTCTGTCATAGCATCTCATCCACCCGGAAGAACAGACAATGATGTGAAAAACTACTGGAACAGCAAGTTAAAGAAGAAGCCAATAGCAGCAAATTATGGTTATAACCCCACAAATAGTATCGACACCACCGCTGCGAAAGCGAAAACCGACCTCGCATCTTCAACCACTAACACATTGGTTCCCACATTTTCAGCTCAAGAGACATCTCCTATAAGTCCTTGTTTAACTGAGAGTACTAAAAACCCGAGCTTTTCTTCATCTTCCCAACAAGATTCAACCATTTCTGAAACATTTTCACAGCTTGGAAATGATTTCATCTTTGGCAATGGCAGTTGCAGCAACGGGATTCCAATGGATAATATCGGCTATCGACGTTCTTATGAAATTCTGGATGAAATTTGGTCCCAAGAGGCAGCCAATGAAGGGGTTCCTAATTTATATTGAAATCATCAGGAGATGTCTTTATATATATATGTTAGTTGATATGATAAGGGATTGTTTATTGATACAACATATATATGTAAACATTTGATACAAATGAATTGAACTTTCACATTATTTATTTTAGCCTTTGTGTACAATGTGCATGAATATTTAAGATGAAAATTAATAGTGGTGTCAAATTGAGTCGGGGCTACTCGAGTCACGACAAGTCCGATGCCTGGATGGGGCTAGTCGGTCCCACCAAAAAATACTTGTTGCTTATGGCCTCTATACATGTTTTTCAATATACTCAATGTGGCACGGCACGTAAGAAATTAGAACACATTATAATCAATGTTTACATGGAACTTTGAAACAGTAGATACTTGTGGAGTGATAGTTTCATTTACTTCTGATCTATTTATTCGATGACTTCAATATTTTGGGTCCCTAAAAATGTAGTATCCAAACAGAACGACGAAAAAGGAGAAATTGACGAGGTAAATATTGAATTTTGACGCACCCCACATTGTTATAACTAGTGGTTTTTGTGTTCTTTTTTAGATGGACAAGAAAGTGAGGGTGTGATCACCATTTCTTGTTTCATACTTTCTAGTCAGTGGCCAATTCACAACCGAATAAAATGTCTCTCTCAGAAACTATTACAAAGGATTCTCTCAATTTATTTTTTTCTTGTTCTCTACAGAACATTTGGGCTAAGCTAAAAGTTAGTTGATATTTTGTTTATAAGCATTCCCAATTACTTAAATATTTTTTTCTTATTTGAAAAACTTATTTATTCTAATAGCAAGATAAGATTTATTTCCGAATATTTCTCTTCTTTTTCCAAAGAAAATATTATTTAGTTTTTACTTATTTTATATATAAGTAAATTTTTTAATCAGCTTATCCAAACATTCACCAAGTTTGATATGTTGCAGGTACACATTCTTAGAAACTTAATTGAAGTTTCTTTTTAGGGTTCATGACAAATTATAGAAACTTCCGATAACGTGATAACAATGCATATGTCCCTGTTGCGTGATCAAATTTTGGCAGGATCGTGCTCTTCTGCAGCAATAATTCATGGCTTGGAATCAATATTCGAAGGAAAACTTTCAAGCATGAATGTCCATTATGCACACACAGGCGAAATTCCTTCCGATTTCTCTGGTTCCTTGCGCCATTTCACTGAGAATGGAGAAGGGAATTTAATTATATCTTTGTTGATTAATTGAAATTTAAAAAAAATGCCTATCTGTGAAACGCTGCAGCCGAGTATCGTCAAGATCAGGGCATACACCGTGTTCGTAACACCTCTGGTGGATTCTCCAAAAAACCAGTTGCCATTCAGGTTCAGTTCCAGACGCGGGTACTGAGAAGAGAAACTTTCATGGCTATAATACTCACAGGCAGCAACAATGGGTTGTGTACTGCAAGCATTGGAGATTAGCGGCGGTGGTTGGGAAAGAGGGGGGAGGATTTGGTGAAGAAGTTGATCTGTTTTAGGTGACACATTTCTAGACCTAATGAAATCCTACCAATCCTACTGAACAAGTTGGAAATCGGTAAACCATTATTAACATCAATTAATGTAGTTGTGAAAGTTTTGATTCTATTAAAATCTCAATTATAACAGATAAGAAGCAATATCACACATTATACTTCCAAACATTAAATCGAACATTATCTATACAAGTACTAGAAATGGACATATAGAAATTTAGTTTTTCACAGAATAGGGTGGTCGCAGCAGCTCAAGATATGGTCTCCACCTTCATAAAATTTCTTCAAAGTATGACTGACAACCGCAAAAGAATTTTCCAAGCAAGTGCAGCACTAAGAGCTCAATGCTGCAATAAGCACATAATTTATCAAACAACAACTGAGGAATAATTTAGGGTGTATAAACTTATTCTTGACCTCCAGTTTGATCCCGGTTCAACCCTTGACCCATTACGTTGGTTTTAAACACTTACACCAAGAGATATAGAAAACGACCTTGTTAAAGTGCCATCTCTGCCTGCAATGCAGCAAGCTCATCTTCCTCTTCTGTATTCTTGCGAGCAGCTGGACGTACAGGTTGCTTTCCAGTGGGCACTTGAATTGGAGCAGCAGGGGCGGTTGTGGCAGGTTGCAGAAGTTGTTCCTCCAACTCAACTCCTTCCAGCTCTTCAAGTTCTGCCTCTAATTCATCCAGTGAAAGTAAAAGAAATATGCTATTGTCAAAGGAAGAACTCCCGACCTTTTCTGGTCCTCTTTCACAAATGAAAAGGTTATCAGAAATTGGAGAATGCATACTTCATGAAAATCAGCCGCTGCACCAATTGGTGCTGACAGTGCTTCTTGAATCTGTTTCATATTTTCGGTCTGCTCATTGATCTCGTCCATTGTCTTGTCCACATCGTCAATATTACTGATGTAGAATCAATATACTGATCAAGAAATAACCACAGTTAGAAGGACAGGAAGAAATAGGCAACAAGAAAGGGGGGAGGAATGGAGAGAATGGAGGGAGAAGACCGGAGGAGAAGAGAACAAGAGGGGAAGGCGGGAGAAAACAATGCTAATTTTCATTCAATTCATCATCTTCATCAACTGAGTTTTTCCAGATCAATTACAAACCTTTAAATAGAAGAAAACAACCCTAAAGCATAAGGATTTGGGCCCAACCCATATACAAGCCCAATAAAATATAAAACCTAAATAAATAGACATAAAACATAAATAATTGGCCCAAATAGACGGCCTAACAAAGGATGTCCGCATCAACTCTCCCGGGGTGGGAGAAAACTCGACCCTGTCGAGTGGTTAAATCACAAAATATTGCTGTCAAATGATATCCTATTCATGATTTCCACGTTGGAACGATCACGGTGGCAAAATGCTACTAAATCGTCCAAGGGAATGTCAATCAAAATATCGGACCCAAAATAGTAAAGTAAAGCCCAAATTGAAAATCAAATTACCACACAATTCCATGCCCATAATATTAACTGAAGCACAGCCCAATCTAAAAATCAAGTGCTAACTTTTCTCTCTAGCCCAATCTGCGTGATGGCAAATTGGGGATCGAGTGGAGGTGAGGTGTCGATGGCTGAGGTGATTATGGACAGCGTCGCTGTATCGATGAACGGCGGTAGGTAGCGGCTGCAGTGATTATGGGCTTCGACGTTGTGAAGGTGATTGGTGGTTGGTGTGGCTGCGGTGGTGGTTACAATTGGAGGTGACGATTGCGAGGTAGATGTTTCAGGGCGTTGTGAGTTGCTCGAAATTGGAGGAGACGATGGAACTTGACGTGGTAGCGTGGGTGTTTTTTGGATTTGGAACAGAGTGTGGTGCGATTTGTTAGCTAGATTGAGCAATGGCGGTGGCGTTTGATGTAGAACGGGTTGATGAAGGCGACACATTGGATTGTGATTGTGAAAGCTGCTGGTGGGCGTGTCTGGCGGCGATTGGCGTTTGCGAACTCATAGTCGAGAGTTTTTTTTATTTATTTTATTTTTTTGGGTGAAAAGGAAAGTTACCGATTATTGCGAAGTTTCCACCAGTTACTATCTTGGAGTTTGAGACATCCTGGTTAATGGAAGTTATGTGGCTTGGGTTGATTGTTGTAATTTCAGGGTGGTGGGATTATGTGGGATGCCGGTAAGTAGAGGTTGTCGGCGGTGGCGGAACCCGGCAGAAGAGATTGCGATTTCTGGTGGGAATGTTGTTGTAATTTGGGCCGAGTAATGGACTAGATTGAGTGGGTTAAGTGATGATTAGCTGCGGTAATGGGCCTGGTGATTTTAGGGATTAAGTTGGGTTGCAGGTATGATAAATAACATGGGCTCAGTAATTGGGTTTGTGTTTGGTTATTGGGACGTGAGGAAGTTGGTTAGAGGAATGGTTGTGTTGTTGGTTTTGGGTACATGGATTGTACATTTATAATTGGAGAGTGGGCTAAAGGTTCATGGGTTTTAACTGTCAGGAATGATTGCATGGTAATGGCCAATGGCAGTTGTACAAGGCGGTTGGGTGGTGTGATATTGGGTGGTGTTACAGCAGCAGTAATGGATTTTGGGACTATTTTCAGATCATGGTGGCAGCGGTTAACCATACGCAGCAGAAGTTTTTTTGATGAAGGGAGACTGTTTTGAGAAAGTGATCCAACCCGTAAAATTGTGAGATGGTATAGATTAAGCAGGTGATTGGCTTGAAACTAAAATCTTTGGCTGAAAAAGAAAAACCCAGATCCCCTTTTCAACAAATTCTTCAGATTAAGAAGATTAAGAATTTCCAGAAAGTGTATGGTCTCCATAATGGTCTAGAACTCAAAATTAAGTAGCAATCTGATGAAGGGAAACCAAGTTTGGCTCTGATACCAAGTTGATGTAGAATCAAGATACTGATCAAGAAATAACCACAGTTAGAAGGACAGGAAGAAATAGGCAGCAAGAAAGGGGGGGAGGAACGGAGAGAATGGAGGGAGAAGACCGGAGGAGAAGAGAACAAGAGGGGAAGGCGGGAGAAAGCAATGCTAATTTTCATTCAATTCATCATCTTCATCAACTGAGTTTTTCCAGATTAATTACAAACCTTTAAATAAAAGAAAACAACCCTAAAGCATAAGGATTTGGGCCAAACCCATATACAAGCCCAATAAAATATAAAACCTAAATAAATAGACATAAAACATAAATAACTGGCCCAAACAGGCGGCCTAGCAAAGGATGTCCGCATCAATTACTAAAACGGAAAAGGCAAGTAGAGAATGTGAGTGAACATAATCCTGGGCATTTTGAAGAATCCTACATCATGGTCACTAAAGAATCAGTGACAACATCATACAATGGAACCAATTTCACACTTTAAGAACCCCATACCCTCACTACCATTCATTTACTGAGCTATTTTTATAAATTGGAGTTTCCCTCGAAGCAATGATGCGCAATATTGTCACCACTGGAGCTACAAAGAAACATCTAAATTATGAGCTCAACACAACATTTTTCAAATCTTGGTGCAGCCTTTGAAAGTCTATCTTAAAAGGCTGCTTCAAGTTTATACCACTTCCCTTGCTGCAGTTCGAATTTAATTTTCTTAATTATAAAACAGTTAGACGGGATTGTAATACAACTTACGTCGCCTTCTGCATGGCTTTCATTGCAGCTGCTCCAGTTCTCAAAGCGTCAACAGTTTCTGTTGTAGCTTTTGCACCCTCTAGCATTATCATCTGAAAAAAGGTAAAGAATAGAATGTTAAAAATTTGAAATTCATGAAAAACTATCTTGTTCAAAAAAGATCATGAGCACCTGATCATGGATACGCAACTGAAAATTTCCAAGCTGTTCAACTTTTTGTTCATAGAGCCACTTTCTCTTCAAACATTGTATTGCAGCTGTTAACAAAGATATGGGAGAAAATTCTTCATAAAAATTGCAAGGCAAGGGGAAAAAATTCAAGACATATATTGCTGGCCTATATGGGACAATGGAAGGGCAGATCGCAGAATACAATTCTGTGTATAATAGATTAAGTTGATCACAAATTGATAAACGGATATTTTAAGGCCTCAACTGAAACGGGAATTACTGAGTCCAAGTTATCAGGTTAAGAAGCGGTTTGAAATAATTGACATAATGGGTTCTCAAGGAAAAATTGCTTTTAGTGGAATAAAATGTAGAAAATCATGGTGATAAGCCAAGTATCTCAAAAAGGACAGCATTTAAAATTGGGAAATTCTACATAGATGCAATGGATGGTAAGAGTACTTACATAAGCTATAGTAAATAGATCATTCCCCTTTCATTTTTGGCTCTTGTAAACTCCTTGGCTTTCTCAACTTCGGCAGCAGTCTTCTTCATAAGAACTTTCTCTTTTTTCTCTAGCATCTCAAGAGTCTGCACAGATTGACCAAGCACAGTTAATAAAATAAAGATGACAAAAAGAATTCTATGAACTAAAATAGCATAAAATTATAAGAATATTACAAATGCAAAACTTTAGGTCAATCTAGCTTTAAGGTGAATTCCTCCATGCTATTTATTCATTGTAAGTACATGAAAATTATTATCCTACAATGGGTATTCATTCACTCTGTCAATCTCTATCTCGCAGTTAAATACAAAAGACCAAGCTGGGATGGTATTTAACTGAGTATATGTTGATATCGAAATGCCAAGCTTTTGAATCCCGCGAAAACTTGACTGTAGTCATATAAAAAATAATGCAATGAACTTAAATGGTTGAGATTAATCTGGTGAGAAGAACTGCCTTCAGTCAGTGAATAATTGCCAAAGCAATCAAATGTTTAAGTCTAATCTCATGAACATTACGTCTCCACATGGATTCTATATTTCTTTTAGAAAAAGAAGAAAAGTAAAGTAAAATAGGTTTTCATAAATTTCCCACACTTTTTTTTTCTCCGAACAGACTAAAAGGAAAGTCTAAAAGCTCTATAGCTATAGTTGAAGACCATGAAATACGAAAGGAAAGTAGTTTGTAAGTTGTCAAGTCTCTCTACATGTCCTCGTGCTGATTGCAATCATTCCCTCAAGTTCTCATATGAAAATTTGTATATGAAATTGGTTTTGACCAATTCTTAATTATTTAAGTGGATATTGTTATTTGGTGAATGGAAAATTAAGTCACTTAAATATGTGAATTATTGAAAAATTACATAGAATATTATGGAATATTCTAGAAGTTATTTAGCTAAAGAGGTGCGTCATTCTATATGAAAGATTGTAACTTTTGACATTATTATTTTTCAATAGACGTGTATCTTCAAATATGGAGATTAATTCCAATAGTTGTGTCTCTTCCATAGGTTGTCTTTTGAGACAAACATTTTCAACATTTATATATAGACCTCATTTGCTTGTTTTCATTCATTCATTCACTTTTTTTATCATTACATTATGAAATTATCATGTTAATGCTTATTCACTTCAATATTCATGCATTTCTCATTTCTACTTTACGCACTTGATTTTGGTAAGTCAAAATTCTGTCCAATTTTATGCACGTAAAAGCTAAGCTATTTGAATATAATTTATGCACGACTATTTTTCCTACAAAACCAAAAGAAGAAAAGGTTTTCCTACGCACTTTTTCGTTCTTTCATAACTGAAACTCAGGACCAGATAGTGCCAAATGGAAGCATCCCTATATTAAATAAGATCAAAAGCTTGTTTTCTGCTTGACAATTGAACATTTGAACTAGAGAACAGGTAACATTACCCACATTGCAGTTAACTACTCTTACCGGAAATAGGTAATAGAGAGTTGAATTCAAATCATATATCAAATATGAAACAAAAATCTAACCTATCGAAACTGTTTGACAAACTTAATTGTCTCAACTAACACGCTCACTTTTACCACAAGAAAGTATCCAATAAAACTATTATTGCATTATAATCACAAAATATAAACTTATTTTAAGACAAAAATAATCAAATAATTCACAACTAATTCAAAGATCAAATATCGTTACCTCATTTAACTTGTCCAGCGTTGCCAGAGCATTTGTCTCTTGCTTAGGTTTCCCAAAAATGCGTGTAAACATTGTCGATTTATTTCTTTACAAAAAATGGTATATAAAACCTGCAATAAAATTAAAATCGGCGATGTCACCTGATCCATTGAATATATAATCGAAGCACGCACGGACGCCATAACTGACCGATGGGGATTTATCCGCTTCTGTGATTGATGATTTTTTGGGGATTAATTTTTTATGAATATATGAAAAAATAAATAAATAAATAAAAAGTCGCTCTTAGAAGATCCTCTTCGCATCAAGAATTCAAGGGATGAAGAAAAGTTAGGGGTGACAGCCTGTGAGTTAAAATCATATGACGGATTTAAAATACACTTTTTTTTTTTAACATTTAATCTTATTTTTTCTCTCATGGTAGTCTGCTCCAGTCCACGAAACATTTTTTATATGAAAATGTAAATTTATCATGCTCTTGATTTTTGATCAACTGATGGATATTTTAGATGAAATCCATCCTTGTACCTTCGATGTCAAAAAAAAAAAAAAACGAAATTTGGAGCTGAAATTGCAATAAATAAAAGATTAGGGTAAAGGTCATAGTAAAGTGAAAGATTTAAGACCGCAATTTTTACTTAATTTGTAAATGTGATAATTGAATTTATTTCTATGCTGTGAAAATATAACTTTTTATGTACAGACAGACGTTGTGTGTTAATTAAACTCTTTGTTAAGAATAAAGAGAAAATAGGCGACGATTTATTCATATGAACATGTCAAAAATAAAGATATTTAGATGAGGCCACGAAATAATAAACAACGCAACATATTAAAATAATATCAATTAGTACGTGTAGTATCAATTTATGAATAAATTAAAAGAAATGTGATTTATTTATAAGAGCGGATCTATCTCAACTAAAAATTAAAAACATATAACTAAAGTGAAATTAACATGAAATGTGATAAAACCAAGTCATAAGCTTCAACATTCACATTAACCTAAGTTCAAGTTTCACTTAAGGGTAGCGTAAAATTCAAATTGATTATATTATTCGTAATCGCTCTACGTGACATATACATGGCATGCAATTATTTAATGCATTAATGTGATAATTTTTTATTGACTCATAAATCAAATAACCATCTGTCACGTGTATATCACGTAAAACTACTGTCATAGTGAGCAATTACAAATAACATCATTTAATTCAAAAAACATGAAATGTCATCGTTGTGACCGGTTGCGTTAAATTTTTATTAGTAGCAGCAACTAAATTGCTAATGACCTGCGGATTATAAGAATACAATTGGCAATAAATTTATGAAAGTTGCGATTATTGCTTGTTATGAGATGAAAGTGAAAATTAAAATTCGCCGAACATTTAAAGGCAAAATGAGATCCGAAACACCAAGTGTACAGTTAGTACATAGTATTCAACAAGATTGAACTGTCAGAACAGTATAATAAGTAAAACTTTAATTTCAATCAAACGAATAAATGTGAACGAGCAGGACCGGCTGACAATGCTACATTTATTCATACTGTTTCCTCTCTTCTTGTATTGATTGAAAAATTCGAGCAGCAGATTCCGTTGCTGATCTGGCATTTCGAGGCACAACCTTGATCACCCGAGCAGGGCATTCAGGTTCGGCAGACTGAATATTACAATCAGGGACACTGACAGCCGCAGATGTGGGTAAAAGTTGAAGTGCGTTTGTTCCTACCACGGCGTATCCTTCTCGACTGCACTGTGGTCTTTCTGTTGGACTACTGGCTGTGCTCGTCTGCAGTTCATTATTCTTAGCTGCATGCGGCTTTATAACATTGGGAACGGCTTCTTTCGTCTGTCTCAGCATATTGCAAGAGTTCTGATGTTGGACATTGAAGTGGTTCGTTTGTTCAACAGATGAACCTGAGAAGGCTGGATTAGCGAATGGCATCCCATAAGTTGGGAAGTAACCTTGAGGCCAGGCAGGAGGGAAGGATGGCACTTGATGATACTGATGATTTGACGCAGGAACTCCATATCCGGGAGTTGAGAAATTACTCATCCATGGAGCCAATCCTGGAGGTCCACAGACAGGACCCATAAATCCCGGTCCAGGGTATGGCTTGTATACTAGTCCTTCAGAAGGAGACATCACAGGTATCAACCACTGGTGCCCCTGTGCCTGATTAAAATACCACGGTTCAGAATTATGGTCACTGCTTGCAGCTGGTGATAGAGGATTTCCCAAAAATGGCCTGCAAGTTGATGGTCGACTACCATTTTGCGTGGAAGAAAGGGGCATCCTTCCCACAGTATTCTCAGCAGAGCATTCAATCTCGGTATTTGGCTTCTCGGAGTTGCTTTTGCGCTTGGAAATATTTGGGGGCGCTTTAGCAATATAATCTAATGGAAGTTTGTTCACAGGAGAAATATTTATGGGTTTGTCCAAACAAGCAGTGCTCTCAAGCAAAAGATGTGGCGACGTGGCAATCAATCTCTGAACCTGGTAATAATGAGAACTGTTATGAAGGCTGATTTTCATAAATCAAATCACGGGTAACACAAGAAATTAGAAAAGAAGGTCAAAGGCGACAATTAAAGCTACATGAACTGAATAGCTGCTCTCACCTTTATTAGTCGATGCAACTCAAACACTTGAACTGCAAAAGCACGCTGTTGACTGTAAAAGGACGTATAGAGTTGATGATGCACAATACAATAAATATATGGTGGAAAGTAATAACCATGCCAAACGAGAAACTTCCAATATAGCACTATTTGCCAATGAATAGAAAAAGAAGAAATCATCAGAATCTTTACTAGCAATTTAGAATTGGCTAGATGATTCATGCCCACACAAAATTTACAGAGGTCAAATTTTCACTAAAAGAAAGAAAAATATGGAGGACATTTAACTTGAGCTAAAAAATAATAATAATAATGATTACACGGAAAGGTGAATATTGGCACATTTCCTCGTGAATAGGCAACATAGTCATACAGGCAGGGTCATGCACAAGAACTGTGGCTCATTATTTAATTTTTTAGTGGGTACATAAAAACATGCATACGAATCAGAGAAGGGTCAGGATGCAGTGTCCAAACATTCTAAGAAACTCTTAATACTCAAGAACAAGTAGATACTTCATAAACACGATCACCAAGTACTATAGTCAAAAAAATGCAACAGATTTTTAGTTGTTCTGATCATGAAAACAAGTAACCAAGTATTCTCAAAATCATTTTTCTTTCTTCTCCACCCACACACCACTGGAACACACAAAGGGAAGGAAAAACACATCCCGAGAGGGAGACCAAATGGACATAGAAGAGTGGCCCACTTCCCACTGACTTATCTCGAACCAAATGTACTCTCTCAGTCCCACCATCCTATACAAAAGATGATAAGCTGCCGAAAAACATGAAGGAGCTGAAGATTTGAAAATGCTGAGGTCAAGGGACGGGGAACCATTGGAATGTGCAGTAATAAACCTACCCAACGTAAATAATGTCAAAACACATTTTCTCAAATTGTAGAAAACATTGTCTCATCCCACAAATGGTTGCCTTCAAAAGAAAATCAGTATCAAGTTTTTAGAAGAGGAGAAAGATGGCACAATGCAACTGACGACATTCTGTAATGCCTATAAATAAAGGAGTCTACATGAAATCCCAGTCCTTTCCAAGGAAGTAACAAACACTTACGGATTTTATGTTCTCACGGGCTGACTCTCCTTAAAAAACATCAACCTATTTCAAAATTTATAAATCTTTTAAGACCATCCCCAATACATTAGTATCTCCAAGTAGATTTGGGAAGTAAGATTCTCCCCAAAAAGACGAATTTCTATATAACAATACAGTGAACTTCACAACTCACAAGTGATACCAAAAGAGACAAAAATGATCTATCCTCTTTAAGCCTCTGTTCGGGTTTCATTTTTATTTTTGCTAAAAAGTCCCTTCTCAAACATTAATTTTAACCGCACAATTCTTATGACCACAAGTACTACTCACTTATCCATCACTCTTTTTTTGAAAATTGAACTTTGGCAAAGAAATTAAACCCAAACAGAAGCTAAATAACCAGTTACATAAAGATGCGTGATGAAAACAAATTGTGACTGAAAAAAGTACCAGAATACAAAGATGCAAAGATTTCTACTGTCGAGAACTCACGGTTAGTTTGCATGCAGCGAGAGCACAAAATAAGAAAAATAGGCACAGGCGTAAAAATATTAAAAAATGAATTGGTGATCATATATCGAAAAGTAATGAAACATACTTGCTAATATTATTAAAAAATATGAATTCAAATAGATAATGCTCACATGACAGAAGGTAGATAGCACTTGGGGTCCCAAACCTTTTAATTCTAGTACCTTGGGTTCCTAACCTATAAAATATTTGTAGCCAACATCCTTTTTTGATGGAAACCGTCAATAAGACTCAAAAGGACAAAATTTTATTGAGATGAGAGTTGTAACCTTATTTTATTTGAATAAAAATAAAATAAATAAAAGAAAAAGGAAAGAAAAAAAACGAAAGGCAACCAGGCTTAGGCACCCCACATAAAGATGTCAATTCGGCTGGTCGGCTAGAGCGACTTGTGGCTCGGCCCGGGAAAAGCCCGAGCCCACTTTTCTTGAGGCTCATTGGAACCGAGCCTCATTTTCGAGTGTTGGCCCGAGCCCAAGCAGGCCAGTATGGCTCATCAAGTCACACGGACTGGCCTGTGTTAGTCACACGAACACGAGAGAGCCTTTGAAAAGGCAGATATGGCTGGCTGCCCTTTTAATAGTTGCCTTTTCAGTTGAAAAAGAAAAAAAGAGCCAGCTCAGCTTGGCTTGAAAAGGCACGTGCTAAAAGTTCGAGCCGAGCCCCATTTTTTGACCGAGCTTTGGCTCAGCTAAGCTCTTCTCGGGCCGTAAAAAGCTCGATCTGTATTTATCAGAGCCGAGAACTTTGGCTCGTTTACATCCCAAACCCCACCACCACCACCGCCGATTCTTCACTCCACTGCCTCCACCCCCTTTCCCCAGCCCTGTCATTGTCGCTGCCATGAGTTCATTTCCAATTGTTCTTCTGTTGTTTAAAAGGGATTCATGTCTCTCTTCTCATCTTCTTATTCATAAATCAATGGACAAGATTGGTTGAATTGAGATTGGAATTCTTTCTGTTTAAATACATGATTCCATATTATAATAGATCGCCAAGAAGAAGATGCATTTTGATTTGGGAAAATTGGCAGCAAATCCATTCCCTACCCCCAGACTATCACTGTAAGATTCAAAATTTTGTCATTTGCTGGCGACGTGAAGAAGGAAAAAGTGGGGAAAATCTCTGGCACTACACCATCGCCGACACCGGGTTGCTACCCAGTCAAAAAGTAGTACCACCTTCATCCAAAAAAATAAAAATAAAAAGAAAGAAAGTACCCACCACCACCTCTATGATCATACCAAGCACGGCCTCCTTTGTAACCAACATTGACCCAAAAAAATAAAAATAAAAATAAGAATAAAAATAAAAAAAACAATCTTCTTTTGCAAATCGCGACATAGATGTAGAATCTGCAAATTGTATGCAGAACAGATCTTCCTTTTTTTTATAAATCTCAAAAGTAAAATACTACATTTCTTGAACAAGACAAGGAGAGATTTTCAAGCTGGATATTTGGTTGGGAAGATGAAAAACAGGTAGATAGCATTTGGTCCAAGACTCCAAATAAATGGTTTTTTATGAAATGGATTGTTTTATTGAATAAAATTTGAACAGTTTTTGCTAATTCAGCAAATAAACTTTGGGAGCTTGGAGCAAAATTATATTGCTAATTTGTGTGCAATTTTAGGTGCTGTTTTGGATTTTGAGAATTGGTGAAGTAAAGGTTGCAATGGTGATTGTGGCAGATGGCGGTTGCAGGGCAGGTGGGAAGTTCACGTGTTCATTCCCCAGTTCAGGAAATCAACGGAAATAGAAGATTTGTATTTCGGATGTGGACAGCAGTGATGCAGACCAGGACGGAGTGTGCGAGTGTGTGGGTGGTTGGCTTCATAGCCGGTGTGCGGCAGGTGATGGGTTTGGGCAGGTTTAGCTGGTGGAGAGTGGATAAGTCTCATCGCCGCTAACGGGGTGGAGGAATTGTCATATTGGTTTGGTGTTCTCTTCGAAATTAGATTTTGTTTCTTCTTTTTCTTTATTTTTTTAAGTTACTAAATTAAGGGCAGGATAGTGATTTTAATAAGAAATTGACCTTGTAAAGGTCAAAATGATGATTTTCATGTAAAAAGGTTGTTGGTCACAAACGTTTTAAAGGTTCAGGATCCCAAGTGCTATTTAAGCCTTTTCTTCTACCTGACATTTTAATTTTTCTTGTCTTCACTCTGTCAGGGATTTAAAATTTCAGATCTTTGTTCTTTATGGCACTATTTAAGTAGCTGAACATTTTGTATATTTCACTAGATTATAATTACCACCACCAGGAAACTTTAAGACCAGCTAATGGAAGAAAAGTTACTTATCATTGCGGATACACAAATTATTCTCAATTTTTGAATAATCTCTTACCTAAACATTGTCTTGTACAATTCTAACAAGCCACCTAATTGATAATCATTTACATGGAAGGGAAGTATTAGAAAATGTCACAATCTTTGGAATTAATATTTCTTCAATTCAAATCCTCCAAAAGGCACAATTTTAGACATACGTTAAAGGGAAGAACTTACTTGGTAATAGCTCGCCTGGCATTCCAGAAATGTTTCTGGCCTATTTTTCCTACGACATCATCAGGAGATATATCCAGTCCAGATAAAGAATCCACCATAGAAGTCTCAGACACACTGTCGCCCATGTCAATATTTTCCGTTTGTGGCGAGCTACATGAACTTTTTTCATGTGAAGTCATATCACTCAGATCATGAATAATATTTTGCTCTTCTAACAGGAAATCCCTGAACGAAGAAGAATGTCTATTATTTATGCTGAAACTAGACTCCCTCATAACATCATTACTGTGGACAAAGCCTGCAGGTTGTGACTTGGCAAACAACTCTGGAATTATATTATTATCAACCTTTTGTAATCTGACGATACTATTAGCTGGATTATCTCTTGGTTCATCAGACTGAGACCCATCAATTTGTTTCCTCTGACCTTCAGTTTTATTTATTGATGATAAATTTAAGAGGGCTTTATCCATCTGCTCCTGAGCAGCCACAAAATCTCTCGTATTCACTTCTTTGAGGCATTTTCCTCCTCGATTGCTACTTCCTACAGCCATGCTAGTCTGTTTTAGATCGTTATCAGCAACTTTTGGAAATTTCAATGTGTGATTGGTATCGTCACAGTTGGAGGGAGGGAATTCTTTTGCATCCAAATTACTAAAATATTTATCATGATCTTGATTTGGATGGGATTCAGTGAAGATGGGAACTGTAAAATCATCTTCATCTAACTTCTTTTTCTGCTGAACTTGTGTTAACACGGTACTCAAATTTGAATATTGGCTGTGTGACTTTTCAGCTTGATGTCTAGGAGGCAGCTGACGTGAGAAAAACTTACTCCTTTCCTTCCCGGTCCCCTGAATGCACAACTACTTAGCAGCAATCACAATTATAATTCAATTTATAAAGCCAGCAAAGGAAGCCAGGCATAGAGGTGCATGCCATGTCACATTAACTGTACTTTTAAAGGGTTTCTTGTTCTGTCTTTCTTCTTTCCTTCTGTCTTCAATCAACAATAATTAAAACCCCAATAAATTCATGCTTTTTTAGTACAATATTATGTGTACGAAGTTTCAACTTTCAAGGATATCTTTCTCTGTCATGACTTAAACTTGAATTAAGAGTTAAAAAAAAGCAAAAAAGAAAAAAGACAGAAAAGAGAAGAAAAAATCAACCTTTCAAGAATACAACATAAAGGCTAAACCTAATGCCTAAAAGGAGACTGACAAAATCAATCCACCAATAAAATATTTTCTTAACCATTTGTTACTACCTCATCCCAAGTGTGAGCCACATTAGAATCAAGGGCCAGATATCACTTACACCCACGTCGACAAGGGGTAACCCACATGGTTCTATGAACCAATCACTTTGAATCGAGGCTACTACCAAGCTCACCAAAGGAGAAAAGGCTATCTGAAAGGGTTTCATTCCCCAGCGGACCTCCCAGCCAGGTGAAACAAAGCAAGCCTTACCATCGCCCTAGAAACATGACAATGGCGAACCAGGTTGCCTTGTAGAAATCTAAAAGAAAGCTAGCAAAGAACAAAACATGTGACTTCAGAATTGTCTCAAATAAAGGATTGTAGAATATCCTATTGCAACATGGTGGAAGGATCACTGCCACATAAGCTAAAACCATTAAAAAGTTTGAAACAAGAATTGGTTGATTAATAATAACCTTGACAATCAGAAAGAAACTGGCAAAAGTAACATGAGGATGTAAGGTACTAGACTCAAAATCCTCTCTAGTTTGAGAACAACTCGTGTCCAGGAGATACAAAAGGTCTAAAGTGCCTTGACCTAATTTTTCATTTATACATTCCCCATGCAACATAAAGGAAAATGTATGAAAATCAAAACCCTAGCCAAATCTCAGTCCATTTTGTTTCTCTTGCACTCAAATTATATTTTCTAACTTGGCCGTCTGGAGTGCAAATGGCGACTGGTCACTGGACCACCTTGAACGGCTACCTTTGCAAGCTTATGGTGTTACTTGTGCAGGTTTAGAGATGTGTGTGTCTGTGTATCACAGCAAATTAAGAAAACCAAGGATACGAAAATATAAGCGAAAAATCAGAATTCTCCACTCACCTGACTTGAAGAAGCAGAAGGCTCTAGGTTAGAAGTGTAGGTAGGGTTGAAGGGCAACACCCCATGGCCGAATCTCTGTGAAGGGATGCTGAGCTGCTCATAAAGGGCCATCTTGTTTCTTGGAGGTGCTCTTGGCCCTCCCGTATCAGTATCATTCACATGAAGCCTTGGAAACATTGGCACCATAATTTTGTCCTCATCTTTCCCTCTTTTCATTTTTAAGCCTATTCAATGAAGGCCTCCTTTTCTATGATTCCCAATAGTTAAGACCCTAATTTTTCTACACCTTCATCACTTTTATCAAATTCACATGAAAATCCCATGCCCCAACATCAAAATCAAATCTTAATATTTGCACACCACAAGAAAACTTTCAGCAAATTTATATAAACAAATCCACTTGGCAAAAAGTTCAATAAGTTGAACGAACTCAAGCACCCAGATCCAATTTTTCAATTGAAACTTGAATTAACCCTGGTAAGAGATAATCGAAATACAGAATACTCGGAAAATTTGAATAAACACATGAAATCCACTCATAATAAAGCAGCATCCCCCGAATCCACGCACAAAATTGATACTTTTTCTATCGAAATCAACCGAATTCTCCAAACCCTACAAATCAGAACCTTGTGGTGG